TTTCCCATGGCATGTCGGATAAGACAGGTTTCACTGTACCATATAAATTGAATTTGACTTGAACACGTTTAAAGCTAGAGGTGCACAATGGCATTTTGTGATAAAGAATCTGTGAAAGTATCATTAAATTTTTTCAGTGGTATAGGAGGAGTTGCGGATAGGAGACATATACTCTTCAATATCATAGTAAGAATGGCAGTGTCCATTTGTCAGATCAAAAGTAATCTACAGTACCGACCAGACCCACCCTGACACCCAAGCAATCCTAGAAAGCAGTCCCTGGGACTGGTTTGGGACAGCTCTGGGACTGCCCTCGGACCGCTGTGGGACTGCTCTGGGACTGCTTTGGGACCGCTCTGGGACTGCCCTCGGACCGCTCTGGGACTTCCCTAGAAAACAGATCCAGCAGTCCTTTGGACTTTGATCATTCATGTGTGAAGAAGGTTCCGCGTGACATGATAGCTCCGCCCCCTTGTGTATTCTGAATTTGCAGGCTCTCTGTTCTTGTTTTGTTAACTTTCAGCGAAGAAATTTTTTCAAAAAAGCCAATACTCAAAAAAATGCTTTCAGATTATAAGTATGAGAATCGGTCTTTGCTCTGTAATTATAAGATCTAATTATAAAGTTATTCTGGTAGAAATTACGCAATTCAAGTTTAAATTTCTATACAAAGAAAATAATATGGAAACCAATATCCATCACAGAAGATAAAGAAATAGAATTATTTTGATGAAAGATTAATAAACCACATAAATGTTATTAAATATTCATGTTAATATTAGGTGTAAACGTTTTCTTCCTTCAATAAATATTATTTCGAATTATTTCTATGTGTGTACTGTTCATAAATGACTGTTGCATAGTTGTAAGAATTGTTGACATTTGTTGATACTACTCAGAATCAATTTCAACTGCCTTTTATAGTTCCATTGTTTATTGACAAACTCATTTCTGAGTAAGCTCCGCCCTTTAAATTAATAAACCCCGCCCATGCACTGGAACTGCTTTGACTGCTTTCTGGAACCGCTGTGGGACTGCTTTGTGTCAGGTTGGGTCTGGTCGGTACTGTAGAGGTACTGTGAGCAATGAGCTCACTAATTAATAAGTACCTCCCGCCTCGCATATATTTATAATGACATAAGCCATGTTTTGATCTGGGTTACCCAAAATAAGTGTCAGATCAAAATGTAAAATAGATCGAAGGTCAAAATGGCATTATGTAGTTAAGCATCTGTGAAATTATCGTTACATTCTTTATTACATAATGCCATAGTGCACCTCCTATTTCCTAACTTTTTGATCTGACACTTATTTTTGGTTTTGTTTCGAAGAACAAAACATGGACTTGTGATTATTAACATATGGGAGGCGCGGGGTATCATTTAGTGAGCTCAGTGCCCATAGTATCTCTGAGTTTATATTATCTGTCCTTAAATAAACGCACTGGGATCTGCGACACGATTAGAAATTTTATCCTGATCAGTGAGCACATTTTTAATTAAAAAATGAAATATACATGTAACTTGTGTAATGGTTGGATTATAAGAATGAAAACCGTGTCTTTTTCACAGCTTTGGAAACCATTAAAACCTCTGTCACAAATTCTAAACAAGTTTTACACAGAATGGTTATGTATCATGAGCACCATGAGACCAAGGATCAAAGTCCTATTTCATATTTGGATATTTTACTAGAAAAAGACGTTATTGGTAATCTAACAATCACGTACGCTCTATGATAAGCGTGATTACTTAACTTTTCTATTGTCAACTTCCCTTATTTATGCAGCAATATATCTTCATCACCTGCATACGGAGTTTATACATCTCAGTTGATTCGATATGCAAAAACATGCTCTACGTGTGAATAATTTCTAAAACGAGGTAAATTATTGACAAATATTTCCATTTCTAATTTTTTTCTCTTTGATAACTCTATGAAAGTTAGCGGAGTTGATTTCTTGATAATTCCGACGGAATGTAAATTAGGCAGGTCGATAGGTCAGAAGCTGAATAGGCCTAATATGCATGCAAATCTCGTGCGCATCTGTCTCTGTCTTACGCTAAGGAGGCCAAATATGCATGTAAATCTCGTGCGACTGCCTTTGTGTTTGACGTCAGTAGCCGAGGACTATTGAAATTGGCATGAAATCTACGTTGACATTTTTAGAATCTATAAAAACAATTTAATTTCACAATAAATGGAAATATGAGGAATCACTGTCTAGTTAGTATAGTATGCCAGGGACTTTGCCCGTTATGCAAATTATCCCATGTTTCCCACTATCGTTGATGCCCTGGCATACTAACTATACTAACTAGACAGTGATTCCTTAAACAAGTTAAAGAAAGAAGAACATTAGCAGTCTCATTTAAGGTCATCATTGTATACCTTCTTTGGTCGATACAATGACCTTATCAACAAATACAATTTATCATTGAGTCAAATGCTGACTGGCGTTTTTCATATTAATTGTTAGTTCTTTACACACTGAATTGACGACGGAGTCTCATTTATGTTTCCGATCATGACAAGGAGCTCGGCAGGAGATACTTACTCCTCCATGGCACCTGATCCCACCTCTGATCTTTCGGGGATGCGTGTTTACTCTGCTCCTATATTGTATTGTTTTATGGACTTCTGAGCTTGAATACTGTTCGATATCTCCATATACTTCATTAAAGGTATTCAATCCCTAATAGGAACAAATTCAGTGAAATTGAATACATAACAGATATTTAGGCATTGAATACTCAGTTTATTTAGACATACTTGCCATTTATTATTATTAGTATGTATAGTGGGATGTGTCCTAATTTTCGACATTGACTTTTGGCAAGAGTTATCGCCCCTTTTTTTAATTAATTAAAAAAATCAATTAAAAAAATTTAGCCGGTAAAAAAATCGTTTTCAGTTGTCAATCTATTTTTAATGTTTCAAGGCTTCCTTCCATTTATTGATATTCAAATTATTTGAATTTTTATTAAAAAAAAACCGCTTTTCCCCATAGACTTCAATGCATTATTTGTTAATTAACTACTGCTTAATAAATGAAATTTGTGCAACTTTCTCGCGGGCAATCCTTTTCCACTATAAAATGCTTTAATATAATATCAGAGTATTATATACTTGACGGATATTTAAGGGGAGGGAATTTGGTCCTCTTAGGGATGGAAATCCTTAAGAGAAATCGTCTTTTAAAAAATAACCTTGTTAAATTTGTTGAGTCATGCATGTGAGTGAAACAAATGATCTGAAAAGGCCGAGTTTTTTACGTGGAATAAAAAGCACTACAAGATACATGAGACAGTTTTATTGCAGTATATTGGGATATGGATCGGGACTTTACATGTATTTAGATAATGCACAAATAGCAGATTCTAAGCAAAGATGGACGGGCGTTTTTTTAAAGATTGTTAATACTAACTAAAAGCTTTTTTGCACCTCATATGTTGGAGCATTTGACCATGTTCTCTTGCCAAGACTGTCATATCTTTTATTTTACCACGAGAAACGATGTTAACCCTTTTGAAAATAATTTCCTACACTCGATGCCAACATTTTTATCTGTAGCTATTGACAGTTAAGACATAACTCTTCAACAAATAATATCAGATACATAAATGAATATATGAAATGAAAATATTTAGAATATATCCATTAATGGACGAATTTAGTTCGGCACGTAAAAAGCAATTTCAATTTGGGACACAAACCAAAAGAAATTAATTCCTCGACAAAAATCGCTAGCATTAACGGGAATCTGATTGGAGAAATAAATAACCATTATCACTGTTTTCCATTTTAAATTATAACTACTGGAAAAATTGTTAGACAGAGGAACACCCCCACCTCACCCAAGGTAACATGTACTACTAGTATATGAGTCTGTTAGTACATCAAGTTTTTGTGTCACCGCCAATAACGACCAATATATACGTTGACCCTAACATTAAATCACAGACAAGTCTAACACTAATCTATCAATAATCTGTCCTCCCACACTTTTCTAACACTCTGAATATTAATGACGTCTTGACGAACAGACGGAGCTTCCAAGACGACCGATCGGAGAGAGATACAGTTTCCCGGGGGAATACTCCGAGTTTAATCAATAGGCAATATCTAACGTTATACTGTAGTTACGTACAAAATGACCAAATCTGGTTAAAAGATAATAAAAATTTATAAACCTCCGTGCAGTGTTTGTTTTTTAAACTGTTGCCTTAATTGGTCCTTGAATATGGTTAGTCTTCGTCATAGCATCATAGAGATCATTGCACACTTTTACAGACATGTAACTAAAGCTGAAAAAAAATGATGCTAGTTTAAGCGTGTGGATAAAACAAATGTTGTGCAGAGCTAATGGATTAATTTATATTATACAAACTGCTGAAAATAATTTGGATGCGTAATAATTTAAGTATATATACTGAAGAGTCGCGCATGGAATTATTCCTACTTTAATGAGGACCATTGTTAAACACTATATCAGGAACTTGGTAAAAGGTAAAATAGGAATGGATTAGGGCTTTCATCATGTCAGAAATGGGATTTAAATTATCCATCGGTTCTGTACCTGAATGGAATGAGTGATTACCTTGTATGTATGGGAAGGCCATGAAGTTACAGATATTCATACTAGTACATCTTGATTGGAGAGACTTCAATAACCTGATTGGACTTCATGTTTAAAATGAAATGTGAAAATACAGTGGGGACAAAACAATCAAAAGTGGACTTCATGTAAATTAGAAGTTTGAAGTCCAGCAAAGAATGAAGTGTAAATGTTAATGTTTATAAATGTACAATCACGTCATTGCACAGCAATATATTTCACGTCATTTCAAAACGGATTTTTCTCCACTGGAATTAAATTATGAAAATATTTTGGAAGACAATTGGCAAATTTACAAATGGACTATACATTTGAACTGGAAAAATTGCTGGTTAATATTGTCAAAATCTCCGAACGGGGTGCGATCTTCTGCCCTTAGTCCTGATACTTCAGCACCATTTCAGAACAATCATTCGTTCTACGATGAGTAATTTCAGTCCAGATTTTGTGAGTAGAACAATCAGCATTTTCATCGCCATTTTCGCCGTTCTCATCATCATCGCCACCGTCTTCGGTAACAGCCTCGTTATAATATCGATCCTCACAGACAGACGTCTACACAGGGTGGGAAACATCTTCATCGTCAGTCTCGCTCTCAGTGACGTACTGGTCGGTATCTGCGTGACCCCCTTCGCACTGATTTATCAACTCCAGGGGACCTGGAACTTCGGGCCCGTCTTTTGCGAGTTCTGGGTGTCTATGGACATCATTTGTTGCACTGCTAGCATATTGAATCTGTGCATGATCAGCTACGATAGATATAACGCAATAGCACAACCTCTCCATTACGCACAGTTTAGAACAGTCCGGAGGGTTCTGTTTTTAGTCACCATAGCCTGGGTGTATTCTATCGGTATTGCTTTACCGCCCCTGCTGGGATGGAAAACGCCGGACCCAAAGTCCCCAGAGTCGTGTGCCATTTCCCAGAATGTGGGATACACGCTGTACTCCACTATTGGAGCGTTCTATTTACCATTGATCGTTATGCTGTGCTTCTACTGCAAAATATTCCAGGTCACGTGGTTAAGGGGTAAACAATGGGTGAGGGGTCCAGGAAACAGTCTGATCATTAAATCCATGAACAGATTTAAGAAACGAAAGAGGTACTCCTCCTATAAAACGTGTGGTTTGTATTGTAACATAGGTGAGGAAGGGGAAGGCAAGGACAGGCCTATTAGTAATACGGAAAGCGAAAATAAAGGTCAATCCAATGATATATCACACGATATGAAACAGGAAATACCTGTGAGTGATAATACTCAAACTCTTGACCAACCAAAGATAAAACCAAAACGCCCCATTCTTGTGCGTCAGATTTCTTTCCTCTCTAGCACCGATTCTGGATACACTACCACGTCCGGTGAAGCCTCAGTTTCAAGCGACACCATGACAACAAAAGATTATCCAGAGCGCATGCCCAGCATCGCAGAGAACGAAATCATCACTGAAGTTGTGGACAAGGAAACAGGGAAGCTCATTAGTCAATGTCGTGGTGGACAGACCATTAAGAATGGAGGCGACCTAAACTTTCCACAGACATCGCTACCTGCAGGAAATTCTGGCGACAAGCAAGTGAAAAATGTCCGAAAACGTCGTCATTTGAAGCGTCGAGACACGATTTCTCTGCCACAGGAGCGCCGAGCTGTCCGTACTTTGGGAATCGTGGTGGGGTGTTTTTTAATCTGCTGGCTGCCGTTCTTCATTGTAGCACTACTCGTGCCTTTATGTCCAGAAGGTGTCTTCCCTGAGTTTGTACAAAGCTTGGTGCTCTTCCTCGGTTACTTCAACTCCGCCTGTAACCCGGTTATTTATACATTCTTCAACAAAGAATTCAGGGCAGCCTTCAAGAAAATTTTATGCTGCAAATTCAGAACTCCCACCCCAACTTATCTGTAGATGATGTGGATGGGTTTCCTTAGCTTTGTTTAAAATGAAAAAAAATATACGGTTATAATAAGGTCTCTATTTCGGATATACTTTATGATAACTCTCGAATTACCACAAATTAGTGCACATTATATACTGGCCTTTCAGCCAAATTTACTCATTTTATCCACGTACAATGTTTATCTATTACTCTTGTCAGGCATAATCAATTTTAACTCATTTGTGTAAGAAAATGATGAAAAAAGCATCTCCCTTTCTAAAATCCCAAATATTTTCCTATCAAATGTATTAAAAATATCAAGCTGTTGTGGCCCTAGCTGAACATTTTATATATCATTATTTGAACACAAAGCTACAGATCCAGTAATGCAATACTGTGCAAATTTACCTCACAAGATTTTTTGCGCACTGTTGGGGAGAATTTCTCCACTTTCCAGCATTGGTCAATCAACTACCTTTCACTCCCTAGTTCTGGACCAACTTCTTTAATCAATTTAAAGTCTTTAACCAATCTGTATACATTGAAAGAGCGATATATGTTAAGTATCTCAAATGGCCCCTTAAAATGAATATCTTAGTTTTACTTTATATATAGCTTTAATTTGTACAGCTATATATGTGACCTTTAATGGTCATTTTCATTTTGATCAAAATGCCGTTATTTTAGAAATATGACATCATAAAAATCACGTTTTCCCGCCATTTTAGCATATTTTGTATAAAACTGCTTATTTTCAAGCAGTTTTTCTTCCAGAAAATATAGAGCGCAGCCTAGAACAAGATTTATATTTTTACCAAAGATGTATCTTTCCAATACTAAAAAGTGACAGAAAAATAATGCATGTTCTACACTGCGCTCTATGTTTCCCATAAGAAAAAAACATCAAGAAAAAGGCATATTTTTGGCTTTTTTGCTAGATAGCAAAAATAGCATTATTTCTAATGTCATTTACAGTTAGTGAGTGCATGTAAATGCGAAAAATATATTGGAAATATCTCTAATATAATCTCTTCTACAAAATGAATATCAATTAAACATATCAAAATGTCATTCTAATATGTTGATTTTCCGGGGGCCAAAATTGGCTCTTATCATATATACTCCTTTATCCACCTCTGAATCCTTTATAGTCATCTTTAAATATGATAAAGAAGCTTATAATTGATTTAAATTGTCTGTTGGGTTGCATAAATTCTAATCATGTGAGTTTATTGCTTCTTCTAGAGATGACTATAAAAAGTTGAGAGGTGGATAAAATATACAGATTCAATGGTTAGAGAATGTGTCTAAAATTTGGGAGTGAAAGGTAGTTAATTGGCCAATGCAGAAAATGGAGAAATTCTTTATAAAACCATAACATCACAGTTCTGTGGCTATTGTGGCCCCAATTCAAGATTTACTTTGGTTTCTAATCACAATGAAATGGATTTCCATTTCAATGTAAGCAGTCAGATGTATGACCTCTGCCATACCTTCTGCTTCATGGTACTTGAATTGTTCTGTTTGAGGTTAAGTAAAAAAACCATATATTTCAACTCAACATAAATTAAATCTAAGCAAGACATAACAGTACTTACAAATTCATAAAAATTTAATGATAAATATTTTTTATAATAATAAAGTTTTTGTGCTTTCAATAAAATTCATTTGCATCACTGTGTTATTTCATAATTCCATGAACCTTTGGAAAAAAAATTTCTTCAAAGATTGAAAAGCTTAAAAATTCGGTCACAAGTATTCTTTCTTTTACAAAAATTATATCTTGAATGTAGTGAAAATAAAGCTTTCACAACAATTGGCCTCCTGTATTTAATTACACTCAATGTCAGAGTCAGCATAGCAGAGGAAGAAAGAGAAGATCTTATCTGTCACTATACACCTTTAAACAATCTTCATAAAAACTGGCCACCCCTTCCATGGCCAAATCTGCTGTTGAGATTTTGTGATTTTTTAATGATAGACTTTCTTTGTGCTTCATCAAATCTGTTCGCTTGAAGGTCAAGGTCACGATCAAAAGGTCGTCTCTCTTTTGGTTTGTTTTCCTCCTCTTTCTGCGCAAAGAAAATGAAATGCAGATCATCTTTCTCTGAATTAGATCACACATTTTAATATGCTATTATTAATATGTTTAATATATTTTCTTAACTATTTCTCTATAGATTTATAATTTTTAACATTAAGTCATTATAAATTCTGCATAAGAAGATGCATTTTCTTCCTTTCACTTGCTGTTTAATGTATAACATGTAAAAAAAATTTTTTAACAATGCATTAAATACACAACTTTACTCTCACTCAAACCAACACTAAAAGTTCTCTTACCATTTTCTTTTTCATTTTCTTTTGATGCAGGTCAAGCAATGATTCAGTGCCACGGCTTTTCTGTAATCAAAAAATAAGACAGATTTATTAAGAGAATTCATCTTTAAATCATCTCTTCAAAAAATTTACCATAATAAGATTAAATCATTTTTAAAATGAAATTTTTTACACCTTTCTTGTATTACTTACTGAGAAATCTGTTATTTGTCAGATATTATAGAGTAATACATGCTTATAGTGAACACTCTTATAATTAAAATGATGCTTATAGTGTAGTGACTTTTATTACCTGTGGGCTTGAAAATGTTTTTTTTTTTTTTTGCAATATTAAACTATCACCAAATAATATACTATAATGAAAAATATTGTCAATCCTTCAGCATCCTACATCAGCATGTATGTCAAAAAAGCAATTAACTTACATAACATATACATAACAAGATGTGTTTGTGGATCTGTTGATCTCTGCTGCTGGAAATATTATGTGATCTTTTTCAGAGTTTGAAGTTATCCCCCTCCTATAAAAAACTTGATCGATATTATAAAGTCTTTCAGAAAACAAGTGATTATAATCATTATATTTATATGAAACATTTAATCCATTTCCCCATTTTAAGCGCTAACCATTAAAAAGTTATGAAAAGGTTCTTTTTGTTTAATTAAAGTAGGGTTTTTAAAATCAAATTTATTGTCAAAAGGTCAAAAATAAACCCTTTAATAATGAATTACTAACTGATATGTCACCATCATAAAGGATAAAACACATCTGTCTGAAGGTTTAAATCAAAGTTGAAGTAAGATCAAATAGGTAACTAATGCACCATACTTTTTTAGTTTTAAAGGTATTTCAAAAGTGTTTAGGATATTAGGAAAAACTGTTATACAACAGCTTTACACATGTGAAATAGATAGTTATTCAAACCAAAATTTAAAGGCCTAACCCCTGTTCTCTTTTTGGCTCTGTCCGCTGGACTGTCTGTCCACATGGACCGGTCACTCATGTCTGGCCCAGCGTTGAAGCATAAAAATATAGATCAAATGTTTATTTCAGAGGCATTAGATCTGTCATCCAAGAAACATGTTTGGTCATGGTGTATGTGACTTTCTGGCTTATTCTGTTTATCATAATAAAAAGATTTTAAAAACTATAAATTTGTAATGCAGTTCAAGTTTACAATATTGAGTTAATTTCATATTTTGAATTTGTTTAAATCAAATTGCAAATTACTGAGTATTCTTACCATAAACAAAAGGAGGTAATATCAAAAAGCATAAAACATGAACAGTAATGAATTAGTTTAGAATACCCTCAATATAACATTGCTGAATTGACTTGCTCCTAAGCTCCACCCCCCAAAATAACAAAAAATTTATTCCACCACAGTGATCTGATGACTCCTCCTTTGACCAACTCAGGTTTTCTGTGTCTCAATTCATTTTGTTTTCAATTTTATTTTCAGGTAAAATGTATTCACAATCTTCACAAGAAAGTTTGTTTCTTTGAAAATAAACAAAAAAGAAGGGCAAAGAATGAAAACCTTTTAAATATATGTAAGTTTATCACCAGGAAACATGGTATTGAACCAGTTTTTGAAACACTGTCATCAGAACACTTGAATTTAGCTGATAAATGTGGAAGTGATGGACCAATATTAAAACATGTTCTTTGATTCAGAAATTTTTTAAGGTAAAGAAAATCTACTTTTTTTATTACCTGTTCTGTGAAATTATAATTTCATGAAAAGGTGAATCTGAAATAATAAGTTTCTCTGTTCTGTTCATATTTTCAATTTTATTTTCAGATATAAAATGTCTGCACAAGATATTTTGTTTCTTTGAAGATGAGTTAAAAAAGAAGGGCAAAGGATACAAACCCTTTAAAATGTCAAAACATCAAAATAAGGCATTAATTTACTTTTAACATAATCTTCTATTTAAGTAGATAAATTAAATAAGTTAATTCAAACTTTTACTTTGATTTAGAGATTTTTTTTAGGTAAAGAAAATCTAGATCTATTTTTCATTACCTGTTCATTGAAATTAAAATTTCATGAAAAAGTGAATCTGAAATAATTAGTTTCTCTGTTCTGTTCATATTTTATCTATAGTCCTAGGTTAACTTTAAAATGCGCACAAATACTTGTAGAATCATGTATAGCAATGAGGATTTAGATAAAAAAGTTCCTTATAAACTTAATGCTAGTATATCCATCATTATCGCCTCCTCTGTCATATAGAACTGATCTGTGTGACCCTTAAGAGACTTTTCTCTGCTTAGCTCTCGTATAACATCTGAGACAAAGCTTACTCAAATCTAGGAGATTAGGTATCCTTACATGAAAGAACCCCACGATTTCTCCTTCCGTATTTGGTTTTAACTTCAATGCGTTCAAAGTCAAAAAAATTTTTTTTTTTTAATAATTTCTTATCAACCATAGGTCAGTTACCTCCTCTGTTTGTACAGGATATCTTAAGTGTTAATGACATTCAACTTGTTTTTAGAATTTTGCCACCTACTTTTATTTCACTAATTAGTGTAACTTAAAATCTTATAGCGACTTCCTTACCAGAAGTAAATATTAATATTTATCATCAACTAGAAATTACTCTATAAAGGGAATTACGCCTAACTGTCGACTGAGCTATACCCATTAGTACCCATCTCAAGCGCATTGATTCTAGACAAATACATACATAGAGTTAAACCCAACTCCTTTAGAAAAAAAAAGCTTTCGAGAGAAAAAAAATCACTCTAAATCATAAATCTATTTTTCTTCTTTTCAGCAGATGTTACCTTATCCGAAATATTATTGCAAGCATTCGGACAATAATCACTTCTATAGATAATACTATAAGGATAGGGTGCTGAGATCTCACGATCATACTATTTTTGTTTTAAGACTGCTATTACACCGTGTTTTGTACGATCGCTGCTTGGTGTCTGCTCTAAAGCTGCTTATTCTGGCTAATCTAGGGTTTGAATCTGGGCAGTCATAAGGAACTGCTGGGTTTCTAATTCCTTTTGCCCACGACTGTAAAATCGGAAACAAAAATAATGATGGAGATCATTTTCAATGGCTTCCCACATTTACTTCCATGTTACTCACCAATTTGAGTACACTGTATCTGACTCGTATTTTAACACTACATAGAAACACACCATCAATGCATGAAGATGGATTTTATGAAGCGGGGGACAACTCCTTCGGAGAAAAAATACTTTGGCTTAAGATTACAAAAACTCTTATTTTTAATAAAAAAGACTTTAAGATACTAGTATATACCGAAGGAAGGTAAAAAGATGAAACTTGCTTTAATATAAATTTTAAAATTATTATTATAATGTAACAACATAATGGGCATGATTGTTATCTTGTTTATAATCTTGAATATAACTGGAATTAATTTGTCCATCATTCATCACGCAGTATGGTAAAAATGGCTAATGAAGTGTTTGATGGAAACAAAATATAGTCTAATTGCTAAAATATATTTATGTGGGTTTCATTGTATATATGTTCACACAAAACTCTACATGAATGTAGAATATTTTATTATTCTTTTAAATTTTGATAGTTACACAAGAATTAAAAAAGGAATGTTTGCTTTGTAGTTTTATCTGTGTTCTTGTCTTTAATTTTAATTTTTTTTTAACATAAAACAATTTCTTTATAACTTTTTTTCTTCATTAAATATCGCAAAGTAGAAATAAATAAACTTTATATTAAAAAATTTCAATTATTTCAAAAAAATTGAAACTATAATACATGAAAGACATGTAGATATGGTCACCAGACACAGACTTCCTGTGTAATGCTATATATAGCTTTTGGATCTGACAAAAGGCCCAGAGTAAATAACAGCACTGTTACTTAGACCACTCCCTTCAGAGCAACAGGAAAAAATTGCCTCTTTAAAAGAAAAAAATAAATTAATCTTATTAAAAGGAAAATTAATATTCATATTTGAATATTTTATGTAATAAAATGACTATTTTGTATTGGATAAAAGATTTTATCTTTTCTATTGGCCTATAATTTGCCTTTACGTCAGAATGGCCTATAACTTTTCTGGTAAATATGCCAGATGTCCTATAGTTACTTAAAAATTATTTCAATCTGAAACCCTGAAACAATTGTTGTCTAGTCAGGAGGTTACTTTAAACTAGTTATAATGTTGCAATTTCTAAGATTAAATGTGGAAATGATACAAATCATATACGCTTTTTTCCATTACCGCTTCGCGGTTTAGAAACCCGAAACCGAACCTTAAAAAATCAGAACCGACCCGACCCGAAAAATTTTGGAACCGTGACAGCCCTATTCATAATGATGATTGATGTACGGTGGCTGCATTGGAATTTAGCCAAGCAGAAAGTCACACGAATAAAAAAAACCTGGAGGAAGTGCTGGACCGAAACATTCATCATCAGACATTTTATAAGACTTAAATCAACTTAATTTTGATAATCTATTTCATGAATCGTCCATCTTGTGTCACATTCCGAAGCTCGTCCGACAAACACCAGTTGATTGGACGAAATTCACCAATATTATCCAATGAACATGGTCTAAAGATAATAATCCTTCTGAATCACACGGGTGCTTGATATAGTCGAAGCGCAAACAGAAAAATGAAGGATAATTTTAACACGGATTGTATTGCACATGTGAATGCAAAATTTGTAAACAGTTACCCTAGACTTAAGAAATGCCGAAAAATAAGGGCGGGGGAGGTGGTGGAAAAGGCGCCAAAGGTGGCGGTGGTGATGACGATTCCTCAAAGAAACAGGCCAAGGGTGGCAACTCCGTAAAGGTGACAATGTTTTTATTGATTCAAGATGCCCATGTTTGAAGTCATGCAGTTTCTACAAAGTTCATATGTAGCAGACACTTTTCTCAAATAATTACTACATATCGGGTCAGATACAATCACTTGATACAGCTATATAGCTTGAAATTCATAAAGTATCCCACGTTTCCAACTATAAAGGTGACAATGTTTTTATTGATTCAACAGTCCAGTCCAATACGAAAATTCGTAATATTACAAAAAAACGTAAGATTACGAAAAAACGTAGTATTGCAAGTTATCGTAATATAAAACATATTACAATTTTTCGTAATGTAGATAAATTACGAATACGCGCAATATGGCAGATTGTAAGAGACTATATTACGAGTTTTCGTAATACAAGACAAATTCAAACATTGCAAGAAATTTGAGTGGTGGGTAGCAAAGTATGACGTCAGTAATATATCAGATTCCATGGCTACTGAAAGCACGCGGTCAGTTTGGTCAGTTACGCCTATCAGAAAGCATGGAAATTCAAGAAGAAAGTACCGCCAGCGATGGGTGAGTGGACAATTATTTTTATTATTCTTTTATGGGAATTTTCCCAAGAAAAACACCAATTTTCCAATAAATTTCAATATTCGCATAAGTATGTCGCATTGGTCTATATCACCCGTACTCCCTACTATTCTTGCGAAGTCTACCCTAAAAATCAACCCTCGTCTCATAATTAAACTGTTCATGCAATTCTTATTGTAATACACAGAATTCAAATCTCAGTAAGAGTCGTACAAGTTATCGCCCGTGACATCTCGTATTAAACATCATACTTTGCTACCCGCCACTCAATTTCTTGCAATGCTTGAATTTCTTGGATTACGAAAACTCGTAATATAGTCTCTTACATCTGCTATATTACGCGTATTTCGTAATTTAACTACATTACGAAAAATTGTAATATAAGTTTTATATTACGATAACTTGTAGTATTACGCTTTCTAGTAATCTTACGTTTTTTCGTAATATTATGAATTTTCGTATTGGACTGGACTGTTCAAGATGCCCATGTTTGAAGTCAGTATCTTGATATACATTATTACATAGTTCAAATGTAGCAGACACTTTTCTCAAATAATTACTACATATTGGGTCAGGTACAATCACTTGATATAGCTATTTAGCTTGAAATTTATAGATTAACTCACGTTTCCAACTATCATTGATTTACCTGGTATACTCTACGAACACATGCGCTTTATTCATATAGAACTACATGATAATTGAGATTTTAAAAATGTTGTCTCATTGATTTAAATTACACAAGGCCTCCTATGTCAATTTCAAAAGTACCAACTCACTGACGTCAAAAACAGAGGCAAAAGATTTAGGCACAGGCACTCATTTCATTCAAAGGGCACCCCAACTTAAATAAGTAGGGGTGCCCCATATATGAAACAAGTGCCTGTGATACAAGGTCTCCTTAGCTCCTGGCTAATTGCTTACAAAAATGTAGCAAAATTTACATTATGGTAGAATGATCAAGATATCAACTCAACTAACTTTCAGAGCAGGGGGAAATGTTGGGCAGTCTGGAATTTTAACCTAGGACCAACTGCTAACTGTTCAGGTGCTCTACCACTGACCTAAACAGTGTTTTCCCTAAGAACTGGCTAGTGGGCAAATTGACCGTTTCAATTAAAAAAAAATGCCACTTTAAAATATTTTAGAAAATTAATAATGGATTTGTTTATTTCTCGTAAACCTCGACCCAAAGCCTGTTACAATTGATCTCCAACCCTTTAATACTGTTTACTTTGAAATAAAGGGAAAACACTGTTAAGGATCTGACATACTCATTACTCAATTCCTTTTACTTTCATTTTTAGGTTCGTCATATCCTTTGTGAGAAACAGTCAAAATGTCTAGAGGCCCTGGAGAAAATTAAAGGAGGAATGAAATTTAATGAAGTTGCTGCACAGTATAGTGAGGATAAGGCCAGGTCAGGAGTAAGTAATCAACTGATACCGTAGATTCCTGATTGTTTGTGAGCACTTATTTTCACCTAATGGCCCTTTAACATCAAATCACTAGATCACATGAGGAGTAATTAAAGTTACCAACCTACAGAACTAATTATCAATTAAATGCAAACCAAGGATAGACTTTAACTTTTAGCATGTTTAGAGTTAAATATTGACGTACTGTAAACCAACTTTATTTTAGCAATTTACTGTGGGTAAACAAGTTCGGAATGATTAATTTTTTGCAATCAAGCCATTTTAGATCTATTGTGTATAGACACAGAGACTTGTAGGACTGGTTTGCAGTGAAAAAATATTTGCTATGACGAGGCTGTCGCTCTTGCAAAAATTTTCACAGACAAAATAAAATTGGTTTTCAGTATTGGAAATGATCTTTGTGCATCTACCTGGTATTTTTCTATATCTTGACTGTTGGTCTACATGAAATACAACTGCTTTGTTTATCATGTTTATGTGTTATTTTCCAGTATTCATCCATATGAAGTAATCAGTTTATGTTTGTTTTCCAGTAAATGTCTATATGAAATACTCATTTTATCTTTGGTTTCCAGTATTTGTCTATATCAAATAATCAGTTTATGTTTGGCTTCCAGGGTGACCTAGGATGGATGACCCGGGGCAGTATGGTCGGACCGTTCCAGGACGCGGCGTTCGCTCTCCCCACAAGTTCACTTGCCAACCCTGTATACACGGACCCTCCGGTCAAAACTAAGTTTGGTTATCATATCATCATGGTGGAGGGCAAGAAGTAAAAAAGGAGATTGTTAAATCATTAAAGACAAAATGTTAATTGTATGATCATATAAAATGTGATGTTTTAATAATTTTTTTTGTTTTAAAAACCTATTAATGGAACCGTAATATTTGATACAAAGGTTCTCAATTTATCATGTGTTATAAGCATACATGTTTTTCTATTACTCAGCATGTACATGAAATATTGTTTGGAAGTAAACTCTAACATTACAAATGCGCATTGGTAATTGCTGTAAGTAATAAAAATTTTGGTAATTGAAAATTAAACAATTTATGTCAAACATTATAATAAACAACTACAATGTTTACTGAAGTGTGACCAATTCATAGAAAATATTAAAATCATTTTTATTCCATCTTCTAAGAAATAACATTTCCTTGTATTTGTGTTCATTACATTCGTACTATTAATAAGTCGGAAAAAGTTGCACTGTATGCAGTGCTTGATGCTAGGGGAGTGTGCTAAAGCAGACAGTATGGCGTCTGCAGGGGGTTCCTTGAGAGAATTCTGTAAAATATGAAAAAGATAAAGAGCTTATGAATTCCACGTATGAAAAATTATTGCAAATAGATTTACAAACATAAAAATGATGACAATAGATAGCCACGACATTAAGATACCAGCTTACAATAAGTTGAAAATTGTTCAACAAAACAAGGTCAACAGGAAGTTGAATGGATTTGGTATGGAAACTAAGACACATTTGGCAACTTCACGGACCACCTTTAGTGGTCAAGAATTTCATATCTGGACAAAAATGGTGCACAGTGCACAGCTGGAAATTGGTCTACCTTATATGGCTATTGTTATTATTTCACACATTGTCCAATCTGATGAGAGAGAACAACAAATGCTGGTTTACATTTTATCATAGACACATGAATTAGGTTAATTTACATGCAACTTTCAAATGATTGAATTTGGTTCATGTTTTATTTTTTATGTAGATTGCTATGGCATTCACAATTTTGAAAGAGGCACCATTGCTAATCATAACTATACACTTAGCAATTGCTTAGATTGGTTACTTAATACCCATATGCAGGGTAGGAGAAAATGCTTTTGAACTAATCAGTAATATTGTCCAATCCGATGAGAGAACAACAAAATATGCTGGTTTACATTTTATCACAGACACATGAATAAGGTTAATTTACATGCAACTTTCAAATGATTGAATTTGGTTCATGTTTTAAGGTAGATTGCTATGGCATTCACAATTTTGAAAGAGGCACCATTGCTAATCATAACTATACACTTAGCAATTGCTTAGTTTGGTTACTTAATACCCATATGCAGGGTAGGAGAAAACTCATTTGAACTAATCAGTAATATTAAGCAATAATCAGAATTACCCTTACCACACATGAACCCCTGACCCTAGGTCCACACATTGCACAATTTTTGAAAAGGCACACTTGCTTATCAAAAATGTTTGATTAATACCAAGGAGCAGATTTCAAACAATTCATTTTTAGTATATAAGTAGAGCCCCCCTCCCTATATGGTATCCCTGACCCAGGGGCTTTGCAATTCACAATTCTGGAAGGAGAGCCCTTGCACATCATAGCTAGTAAATAGGTAGTAGTTTATTAACCAGGAGCAGGGAAGAACAATATCAAATGTAATGTATTTTCATTAAACAATCATTATAGAACCCCGCCCTAACACCAGAACCCCTGATCCTGGAGTCATAAAATTCACAATTTTGGTAGAGGCAATCTTGCTCATCATAACTATGTACTTACTTAGTTTATCTAATACCAAGGAGCAGAAAAGAAGATTTTCAAAGAATATATGCATTTTCACGATAAAATCAATAGAGCCCCGCCTTAACACCAGAACCCCTGACCCTCGGGCCATAAAATTCACAATTCTGGTAGAGGCAATCTTGCTCCTCATAACGATTTACTTAGTTTATTTAATACCCAGGAGCAAAGAAGATTTTCAACATAAGAAATAATGCATTTTTAGTTTTTCACTATATAATCAATATAGCCCCACCCTAGCATTAGAACCCCTGACCCCGGGGCCATGAATTTCACAATTTTAGGTAGAGGACTCAATGGACATTACAGTCATTAATACCAACAATTTGACTGCTTGATGTCCAGAGGTAAAGAAGAAGATTTATAAAGTTTTCATTAATTTTAGTGGTTTTGGCGCATCCCTCAGGCCCCAGGGAGGCGGGGACCATAAAATTCACAATTTGTGTTCCTTCTTACCCTAGAAGCTATATACCGAATTTGGTTGAAATTGATTCAGTGGTTTCAGAGAAGAAGCTGAAAATGTTCAAATGTTAACACACGACGACGGACGAAAACGGATAGCAATACAGCTCAACGCACTTTCTAAGCTCACCTGTTTTTTTCGCACAAATTAAGGTCACATTGTTTTTTCAATAAAATGAACATTATCGACCTTTAATACGAGACATAACCCTAATACGTATTTAATATTTCATATTGAAAGTACATATTCTTTAAATTCATAATTGTAAAGTTTTAAAGTCGATGTTTTAAATGGGACTTCATTGATAAATGATATGATGTTACATCTGTATCATTTCACCATAGGTATATACAAATTAAAATTATCCAGCCTTCCTTAATTGATACTATTCTGTTAAAATTTTCAAATTGTCATCTTAAAGATGGGTATTTTTCGAAGTACTTTGCACATTTTCCATACGCGTCGTGGCTTTGTCGAAATATAGCGCCGAAAAATGGCAATGCTGCATAAAAAAATCATGTCAAAAGACAGAATAAAAAGTATTGTTCATCTCTTGAAATTGTAAATTGTTATCATTGAAAAAGAAAATTGTTTAATCTGCATGTACGGTCTGAAACTTAAGAATTTTACGGTCGGATGTATCTTTGCTAGAATTAGACAGTAACCCTAAAAATTTTCAGCTTTTTTATATGAAAAGCAGTCGAACAAATGAGAAATACTATTACCATCTTGCGCTTTATATACCCGTAGTCATGTTATTGTACAAAGATACAAAAGTTACATGATTTGCACTGTTTTTGAGTTAATGCAAGGCAAAGAACTGCTTTAAAAAGAACGGGTACATAGACGGCTACATTTGACGAGAAACCACGAAAAAACATTTGAGAACTATTCCAATCCATCAGCCAAGAGTATATCAAAATCCTATCAATAATTATGTGTGAATTATGTTTTAAGTTAGTTAAATAAACCTAAAAGAAAGTTAGAAATTATTTTGAAAATATATTTTGTTGCTTCGTTACACAATTTCACATAATAACAATGTGACCTTAATTTGTGCGAAAAACCATGTGTGCTTAGAAAGTGCGTTGAGCTGTAGGTCACCTGAGTAACTACTAAAAAAACAGGCATTTTTTAAAAGAATTTTTCTCACTAAAATAAATATTTTTATTCAGTTTAATATTTAGTTGCTACCAAATGGTACTTTCTATCTGTTAGTCAACTTTATAAACCCTATAGTTTTGGAACTATTGTAATAATTATTTTTGAACATGTTGACCTTTGATAAAACTGTCATTCAAAAGACGACATACCAGTAATTTATTATCATAATAGTGTAATTCATAAAAATTACAAAACATGAATGTAAAGTTTCATTACCAGTAAAAACAAAATTGTCCAGTATTGTCCCTCAAGAACTTTTTTTTTAAATTAAAAATTCAATGACAAGTAAATTGGATGAACGTCTCACTCTATATTACAGCTCATTAATAAGAAGATTGAACCTTATGTTCTTAGATTGAAACCAGTTATGGGATGACACATAGTTTAAGACTTAAGTTAGTGACAACTTTTGAACCATGGTAGTCCTAATTTTGCAGTAGATGCCGTAAATATGTACCAGAGTATGTATTTATTATTTTACCTCATTTTTGTTCTGTGATGAATAAATTCGATACAAAATGCTTCTGTTACATTTTACATCTTAATATTATGCAATATTTTGAGAAGTCCTTCAAGGTATTCCCTATACAGTGTAGACTTGTATAGGGAAAGTGGAAATTAATAATGGACCATTCATGTTATTCTCTGTCAGTACTCCCCGTCAGGACACAGCAAATGCATGGATCTGTTTGCAAGTTAGGTCAGTAATTAACAATCACGTGCTACATCAGAGGATTAAAGTTCGTTGACAGATTTGTCAACAGTACACATATTTTAAACCACAAAAGGGGACCTAATCATTTTACACTCTGTACTGGAATACTTTAATTTGTCCTTTATTGTTTCCGACCCATAGAATAGACTTGAACAGTGATAATCGCATTGGGCCCTTCACTTCATTGTCTGTCAGTAAGAACTTCAAGAACTCCCCGTCGAGTCTCAACAAATGGACATGGTAATTGTTAAGGTCAACAACAAGGATGTTACAGAGAGAGTCACACACTACATCGGTTGGATTAAAGTTCTTTTTCAGGTTCTGTCCTCGATAGACAAACTTTAAACGCCCAGAAGAAGACATAATCACTAGTTCACTTGTAGTCTTACTTTTACTGTTCACTACACAGATATCACTGTTACTATTCTGTGTGACTCTGTATGGAAATGTAAACAGTCTGGTCTGACCGTCCTCCTGGTACTCATACTCATGGATGACGTCACCTGTCACTGTGATGTGTCTCACCAGACGTCTGCTGTGTGAGTCTAATTTGTAACGATCCGATTCATCGTCTCTCAGGGTGACCAGTAGTCCACCATCCACTGACTGACAGATCCCCATTGGTCCCAGTGGATCTGTACTGATGACTGTAGAGACAGATCCTGATGGTGAAAGACAGCTGATGGATTTCTTTGTTTTTCTAAAATCGGTGAAATAAACCTCCCCAGTTTCAGCCACACACAAGTCATATAAAGTAAAACTAATTTTTTGTTCTTTTTCTCCTTCCTTGTTAACTTTTTCTAAATATTGTGATTGATATTCTCTTATGTAACATTGGTCCTCACTGAAAGTCTCCAACACAGATATTTGATCATTTCCATATTGGAATGAGTTAATTTGAGTCACAGCAATATTATCTAAATCTATAGTTTTTCCAACCACAGAATTAAGGTAGTCTTCTTTGATTTCACCTCTTGTGAACCTCACTGAATATTCACAGTTTGTCATATGAACCTCCAATTCAGATAGCTTTTCCCTCAGTTCTCTGTGGTTGTCAATCAAGCTGTAATCTGACATGGTGCTGTTCTTCTCCTCTATGAATTCCATTATGTCAAAAATTCCTCTTTTCTTCTTGTCTAACTCAGATTTCACATGCTTCAATTGATCATTCTTTTTAACTAAATTGTCTCGTATTGTTTGTTCATGGCGGTTTCTGATTTCTGTCAGTCTGGCCATTATCTCATCACAATGCCTTTGTAGCTTTTTAATCTCAGAGTCACAAAGCTCTTTATTTTCTTTGATCTGTTTTGGAATCCTCTCTATTTTCTTTTCAGTCTCAAACAGGTCTTCTTCCTTGACCCTCTTCAGAAATTTAAGCAGACTCCTCCTCCTTTCGGTAGCTGCCGTGGGTAGAGTCTTCGGATCATGATCTCTATGATCTGTAATGGCGCACTCAACACAAATGAATTCATCACAGTCCTCGCATACCATATCAATAGTTTTTCCATGGATTCCACACATTTTGATGTGTTCTTGTGGTGAACCCGATGGAAATTTAATGGTTGCTCCGGCAGCCATGTTTGTTTGGTGTCGCCTACCAAATGCCCTAGTTTTAATGTGCATGTTAGATAACCAAAGATTGTGAAAACGGATTTTAAATGACAGATTGGTGTACAATTAGTTAAAGGTATACTCATGTAAACTTTGACGCTCATATCGCAGGCCAGTGGTTAATATAGTTGAAATAATTTGAATATTTATTGACCAAAATGATTGTGAAGTCGTATTTTACATATTAGGCCATTTTTTTTTTATTAGTTGTTTTTCAAGAATTTTTTTTTTAAAAATAAGGTCGGTCGGTCGAAAAAAAAAAAAAAAAAGAGTCAGTTGAAAAAAACGATCATTTTTGGAAGTAAACAAGTCAAGTAGAATTGTAAAATGAATAAGTTTAGGGGTATTTAGATGCATGCTGCATTGAAAATTTTCATTTATTGAAGACATCGCGTTAGATTAGAGTACAATAAATTAATCAGGACAAGCCCTCACCACAATCGGTCATATGGACCGGTGGTACACTTAGCACTACAGTGAATTTCATCCCGGACATTTCGATTTTCTATCAATTTTGCCAGAAGGACCAATAGTTTTTGGAAACTCTGTATTGTTGACATGCTCCTGTCGCCATTTTTGCATGTGACACATTTTTTCCCCCAAAGTTCGTATCTTTCGGCGGCAATTTCAAATGGAAAAAAATGCCCATCAAAAATTTTATTTTTTTTCTAATTTTTCAAATTTTAGGTCGGCGGTCTTGAAAAACAACTAATAAAAAAAGGGTGGCCTTAAGTGTCTATTTACGGACAGGAAGATATGCATTGAGAATTTGAGATATAGTAGTAAAGCATACAGGTGTGATCGATTCACGCATTTAAGGTACCGGTAGTCCGATCCTCAGGTTCATAAAATTAGCAATTAATTTATAAAATACTCATAAAAGTATCTCTGAATCCACAAAGTTATGTAAACTTATCCACAATATTTCTTTAAAGTTAAAGATTAAAGTTAATCATATTATATAGGAAAAGGTGTCAATTAAATCTTCAATATGTTTGGAGAAAACGCGAATTGGAATATCAGCAATTTTCTAATTGCAAATTGATCAACAAATACATTTTAGGTTAAAAAACGATAGGTATCCAGGCATTCAAAGAAATTGTCAGGATTTTTTATACTTATTTAAAATTTGTTGTCTCCTATTTCCGTCATGTATTCTATAATACATACGAGTGTAAAAGGCTTTTACTATCATTGCAAGACAACGCAAATATCATATTTCATATCATGCCAATAAGTATTGGGATCTAAGGCTGGATTCAAGAAAATCTTATTTCTCTAAAACTGTATTATTTTTTTTCCTTTCATAGGGTACAAATGTACGGAAGCGTATTACTGCCACTTGAAAAAAAAATATTGTAAGTCGTACGTACGACATAATAAGTCGTACGTACGACATAGTAAGTCGTACGTACGAGATACTAAGTCGTACGAACGAGATACTATGTCGTACGTACGACATACTAAGTCGTACGTACGACATAATAAGTCGTACGAACGACATAATAAGTCGTACAAACGACATAATAAGTCGTACGTACGACATAATATTAAGTCGTACGAACGACATAATAAGTCGTACGTACGACATAATAAGTCGTACGAACGAGATAATAAGTCGTACGTACGAGATACTAAGTCGTACAAACGAGATACTATGTCGTACGTACGACATAGTAAGTCGTACGTACGACATAATAAGTCGTACAAACGAGATACTAAGTCGTACGTACGACATAATAAGTCGTACGTACGAGATACTAAGTCGTACGAACGAGATACTATGTCGTACGTACGAGATACTAAATCGTACGTACGAGATACATGTACTAAGTCGTACGTACGAGATACTATGTCGTACGTACGACATAATAAGTCGTACGTACGACATATTAAGTCGTATGAATGAGATAATAAGTCGTACGTACGACATAATATGTCGTACGAACGAGGTACTAAGTCGTACGTACGACATAATAAGTCGTACGAACGAGATACTAAGTCGTACGTACGACATACTAAGTCGTACGAACGAGATAATATGTCGTACGTACGAGATACTCAGAACGTAGCTGCAGCTTTATGGTTTTGTATTTTAGTCTTTGATCATATATTAAATGCAAATAATGTGCAATTTACGGCGCAAGAATTTTCACACTTTCCAGCATTGGTCTATCCCTAATTCCAAACACATTGTTTAACCAATATATTTATTTTATCAACCTTCTAGCCCTTTATATTCGTTTTAACAGGCGATAAACTTGATTTGAATTGTCTGTTGGATTGCAAAAAATTCAAAACAAGCAAGTTTATCACCTCTGCCCAATTCGAACTTGGGATTTTACATTGTTTATTTCATATTTATCTGCAAAACTGTTTATTACAATTCATAAATTATAGACTAGGAAGGATAAAGATGTTATTCAATATGATATATTTATTCTACCCGTGACCCTGCATATTTTCAAAGCCTTATTAATTTCGGGTTTAAAATGGTATGATCAAAAGTAAATGGCTATTTAGGATATAGTCTATAAAGTCTGAAAGAGTGTTTAAATGTAGAGAGAAATTATAAATTACTTTTATAACAACTAGTTTCGAGTGGTATGTCTTTGGCACGTCAGTTAGTCCGTCAGTATTTTTTTTTATTTCTTTATTTTTTATAGGCATAATTTTTCTTAAGCAGCTGCATAAATGAAACATGAAACTTTGTAGATAATTAGGACACAATGTATAAATATGCATATTCCTAAAACAGGCACGTAGCAATATTATTGTTTAAAATTTGCATTGAAAGGCCGGTTGCCCCTTCCCCCACTTTGTGATACAGTAAAGTGAAATAAGGGTAATGTACATGTAGTATTATATGCGGGAAAATTGTACTGAAAGAAGTTGGAACTTTAAAAAGACCCCCCCCTCCCCAAAATAATGTTTTCTTGTTAGGGCAATTTTTTACTTGTCAACTTTTTTAGGTAAGTTTTTTTTATCTGGCTGCCCCCTTTCCCCTTTCAAAAACGATGCTATGTCACTGCAAGAAATCTTAATTTCTTTATTTTTCTGGGTGAGCACTTTGTATGCGCAACCCTGCTTAAGAGGGCGAGGGGGGGGGGGGGAATGTCGTGGCCATTTTAGACAATATTGCTCTCCTTTAGAAGAAGAGCTCCATATGAAAATGATCAAATTTAACAGCTGAAATAAATCAATTTTTTTCTGATCATATTATAGTTTACGGCTTATTTATTTGATAAAGAAACATTTCATGTATACAATGTATATATTAATTTTAGGGTGGCAACTTTGCTTAAAGTCATTTAAAATCTAAATAGCATGCTTTCTGTTACGGCCCCGGGTCTTCAAGCTGATCATATACGTTAAACCTGTTAGAAAAATGTTATCTTCGCTTAATAGATAAATAATCTTCTTAAAATCAAATCTAGAAGATATTCTGTCCTTCACATCATGATCATTTACTACTTCTGCGATTTCATTTTAATTTATTCGTTTGGAAACTTTTCCGAGATTAAATGTATTAGATTATTCACGCTTTTATTGTTTTTGTTTGTTTGTTTGTTGTTTTTTTTTGTTGTTGTTTTTTTTAGGGGGGGGGGTGTGGATCAACCGCATGTCAGTCATGTTTTGTGTTTTTTCTTTTTTTTTGGGGGGGGGGGGGGGGGGGGCGTTTGTGTGTGACTCCTTCATCGTGAGGAAGAATGAATAATTCTTGTCCTCAAATAATGAATGCTTACACTGTGGGATAATTTTTAGAGAATAATATTTCTGGTCTACATTCTCATAAATATCGTTTATCTCTAAAGAAAAATAAATCATTTATAGAGGAAAATGAAGTGAAATATACAAGTCTGTTTTTATAGAAGTAAACGTGTGCCACCAGGTGATTCGAACCAGGCCACAGTAAAAATGTTGAATTTCAGTCTCAAAATATCCGAGCTTTTCAAATTAAAAGGACATTAAACATAAATATAAACCAAACATAAAATTAAAGAAATATTTTTCATTTTCGGGATTTTTGTACTTTTCACCCACATTGGTACCCCCTGAAAAGCTTAATAAATTTATAATATTCTTTCGATAAAAACGTATCAAATTATCAGATTCTTTGAGGGGTGGAGGGGGGCTGCTTTGGATAGGACTTGTTAGTCAAAGTGTAAAATTGACTTTTTTTTAACTGTTAAATAGATTGAAGTTACATATGTATATGAAATTTAGGTTGTTCCGTTTTAGTAATCAAAAGCACAACTACTGGCACGCCCGCCTGTTCATGATATTATAAAGAAAACCGTATAACTACATATTATATCGTATAAGTAACATAAACACATGGCTACAAGGGGTTTATCTATCTCGTTCGTACGTTAGTATCTCGTACGTACGACTTATATTTCGTTCGTACGACTTAGTATCTCGTACGTACGAGATCTCGGTTAATGTTACGTACTAGTATCTCGTTCGTATGACTTAGTATCTCGTACGTTATGTCGTACGTACAACTTATTATGTCGTACGTACGACTTAGTATCTCGTTCGTACGACTTATTATGTCGTACATACGACATAGTATCTCGTTCGTACGACTAATTATCTTGTAATGTACGTACTTATTATGTCGTACGTACGACTTATTATGTCGTACGTACGACTTAGTATCTCGTTCGTACGACTTAGTATCTCGTACGTACGACTTATTATGTCGTACATACGACATAGTATCTCGTTCGTACGACTTATTATGTCGTACGTACGACTTATTATGTCGTACGTACGACTTATTATGTCGTACGTACGACTTAGTATCTCGTTCGTACGACTTAGTATCTCGTTCGTACGACTTAGTATCTCGTTCGTACGACTTATTATGTCGTACGTACGACA